TGATCTGATTAGTTGAAGCTTTCATACACGTCCAATCGCAGGGCTGTTTACAAACGGAAAACGGAGAGACTGTTCGGGAGAGCTCGTGAAAACTCGACGATAAGGTATCTGACCGCCCCTAAATTTTTCTCAACGGATTTAGACGATTCACAAAAACGATCAATTTAAGAAATAAAACGGCGGATTTCCGCGGATCCGCGGAAAATTGCCATGTATGTATGGTTATTTTGTTTAAATTTTTGATGGGGTGGGGGACTTTGTCCGACCTACCGACCCTATGCTGAAATTTCATGTTACGGGAAACACACTATCTTTTTTGTTTGGCCTAATGTGCATATAATTAGTGTATGTTCTGTCCATTGTTACTGAATATAGATTATTGCAAAACGTCCCGTTCTCCTGCATTTTTTTTTATTATAGAACTGTACAAAAAAAAAATATCAGTTGCATCATCAGCGACTAGTCAAAGTAAACTCCACTTTCATGAATTTAACGCCAACTTAAAGGTCATGTGTGAAGTAGTTTTAGAAAATCCCAACCTAAATATTTTTATGTCACAAGTAATTAAACAACCACATGAAAAAAAGCACGGAAAAAGAATTTCTATTTTGTAAATTTGACAAAGTATTCGTTTCCCCGAAGTGACATCTTCACGAGCGACAAACCGGGCAGTGTGACGTCACTTCAAAGACAACATGAGCGGGGCTCACTATGGGAAGTGTACAAAGCCAGTCAGAAATCGATTCGGAAAGCGATGTTTCAAAGGGGATCCAGACGTTTGACGAGTTGGAGGAAGAGGAGCGTTTTGGCAAGGTGTACGTCAGACCATACATGTACAAGCCAGATGGTCAGGATGCGGAAAATGTTGTGCCCGAACGGCCAGACATGGAGTGGATACGAGACCCATCGGGGTTGGAAGAACGGTAAGATATATAGGCTGCGGTTTTTAGCCTAGCATTATTGTTTGCAATTCGACGCAGTGCCGTGCTGTAAATTGCGCACGATGGGATTACCTACAGTACTTAGTCCATACATTCTCACTCAAATTGAGAACACACGTCAATAATGTGCATTTTTACAATGTATTTCAGGCTGAAATAGGTTCATATAATCTTTCTCTAAATAATTTAAAAATCTAAAGGTTGTGTATTCCATTAAAAATAAGTTTTACTGTATTCTTGACCATAATTTCGATATTTCCATACCTGTTATTCCATATGTATGTGAGTCGTGTGTAATTTACCATGTACTTGTAGTCTTTCTCCTTCTGCTTCCCTCTCGGTCTCAGCTTGGGTAGGTCATCAAACTGATAGCTTCCTTTGAAAGGAATAATGGCTTTCCCTGGGACCCAAGCACACTCGATCATCTCGCCAATCGTCTCCAGGAAGTACATGCGACAGGGGCGGGGACTGTGCACTAGAACGAAACACATAAGAGTTGGGATGATAAAATTCAATATTACCATCATGTCATCCGTGGTCCGGCGACTCTGAAGGAAAGCTCACATTTCATCTTGGTGTGGAGGCCCAACTGAGGGTCGCAGAGAACTCGGCAGGGCCACCAGGGCCGTCTGTTGAACTTTGCCCACACCAACTCGCCATCCACATGTTCCACTGATGGAGGAGGCCTTGTTTTTGCACTCTTGGACTAAGTGAGAAAATTAAAATTGGTTTAAAATGGATTTATAAAACAGGTGAAAACTCACATCTGATGAACACAAATATTTGCAATTAAGAAATATGACATGCTGTGTCAGAAAAGTTCCAGGACTAGTGTCATAAGACATACTGCATTTAAAATCCAAAATATAAGTTTTCCCCTTCAGTCCAATGCACTTTGCCAGCCTTCTCTGCCATGCTCTTCTCAAAATAGTCTTCCGGGATCGTCCCTGACACTATCATCTCAGCAATCAATATGTTGTCCAAGACTTCAAAATCTGTCCCCTTGAGCTTTGGAAAGCAGGGGGAGGGGGAAAAAAAGAACAAAACAAAAAACAAAAAAATCACACGGAGCCAGGTCTCACGAGAAGGAAGGCAGCTCCATCACGGCTGAGTTCTTCTCATCTAGTTGTCCGCCTCATAACTCTCGGCTCTTCTCACACACTGAACAAAGCAAACGCTGCAGGATCTTTTTGTAGTGTTGCTGGTTGATCACCTGGCCCACGTTTTAGGGGAAAACTTGTACTTTATGGTTGAAGTTTGAAATACATCTTTTGTGACAAAAGTTTGAGAACTTTCCTGATACATCCATCCACGCGGCTTTTTGTTTTTCATATCGTTATATTCATACAAGATTATTTCAACAGTGATCACTGGAGTTGCCTGTGTTGAGAAAGGAGCATGTGTGGTGTCTGTTTATGTGCTCATTCACTGCCAGCCCAGTCAAAATGGATCGTTGACGTCTATAGCTTTCAAAAGCAGTGATTAATAGGAGTTACAAGAGTGACTTGAGCACAGCACTACCGATATTTGAGATGACAAAAATACTAGTGACTAGATTTGCTGAAAACTGCAAATCCAAGTGACCAATTTCACTTTAAAGCACGCAGACAGTCGGTTGGGTGTACATTTCAAGTGACACATCCGATGTGGTTCTGTTTACACTGACAGAACATATGAAACGACCTGCCTGCGGAGACGGCCAAATTGCATGTAAGAAAAGACGCCACAAGTGTCAACAGTGGGTGGGGATCACAGGGAGGTAAATAATACTACATAAGTCATACAAATATCAAGCTTTACATTCAGTGTAGTTGACCAGGGCTGGCTCTTTCCTCCAAATGATTTAAATGAGGGTAACCTCACCATGACTCCAATGTCTGCAAATTTACTTTGATAATTTGATATTTGACACATCTCTAATGTAGCATATTTAGACCTCCAATTGTCTACTGTATGCTTTTTAGAAATACAGCAGTTTGATTTTTGAAGAGGTCAATTCTCATCTGAAGATATCAACTCCCTTTTTTTTGTACACTGCCATAACACATATCCGAATTGTACCGCTTGAGAGGAGAAAAACAAAAACCCTTGTGTTGCTTGAACCATACAGTGTAAATCCAGCCTTAGAGACAGACTATCTAAACATCTGGAGTTGTACAAGCAAGAAACACTTAGACAAAGCCTTGGCTTTTCGGAGGCGCCAAACAAAGAATCCGCAGTGTTTGCAACTCACATCAGAGTTGTTGCCAGATGGTGAAATAAAGCCATGATCAGTAGAGCCAAGTTCCCCATCGCTTTCCGATTCCTCGTTCATGCTCCACCCGTCTCTCATGGGGATGTCTGGCAGCGCGTCGGTCAGAGTAGGGTTGAGTTCCGATATAGTTTTTGACATCAGGTTAAAAACAGTAGGTTTGGATGTCCTTGTGTCTGAGCCCGAAATGTTTGAGGCTCGAGAGCCTGGAACAGCGTGCTCCCAAGTGTGGTGATAAGGGTTGAAGACCTCACTCCGTTTGTTGTGCGCAACATGATCGCGTTGCAGCTGCTTTGTGTCAATGCTGTCAAACAATGTCGTGCCAAAATGCAGGTATCCGTTTGAGGTGGGAGAACAACACTCTAGGCTGTCCGGACTGTGAGGGAGGAAGCCATTCCTGTTGAAAAGTGGCAGAGGTTCAAATGAGGTGTTATCGTTGTATGGTGAGGGAGGCAGAAGGACAGACGGTGGCTCAAATGCATCATTGTCATCATGCCGGACTGGGCTTGAAGGGTGTAAGTAATTCCTAGCATGGTGGTCAACTTTCTTGACCACAGCATTAAAGTCAGGCAGCGTCTTCAGCGGGTTGTAACAGTTGGACACCGATGGCTGCTCCGACCCGAGCTTCGCCATGCCACACTGCTTTCTGTAGGAGGTGCCCACAAAACCATTGCGGGGCCTCGACTCCGGCTGGCTGCTGCAGCCAAACACTGAACGGAAAGCCGGGCTGTATGACTGACTCATGTTGCCTTGGCTCGCCCCTGTCAAGGAGAAAAGCAGGGGATAGTTTTAGTTTTTATTTTCACTGAAAGTGTTGTCAAAGCATGCTCAATAATAGTGTTGATTCAGAGTAGCGGTGTAGAACTTGTTTTCATTGCAATTACATTTGCCGGAAGGGGGGGCAGTCATAATGTTGAAATTGCATAAATGTCATCGAAAATCAAACGACAATGGCTTCAGTCTTTATTTCTCTGGGAAGTGCAATATTAATATCAGTCAGTGGTCTTCTTTTTAGGAAATAAGGAATGCAGACAAGAGCCACTTGAACAGTCTGAATTATTATGCTATAAAAACATTGACAATGGCATCGATTATGGTTTTGGCTCCACCTGTAGAGTCTGGGAAAAAAATGTTTAAAGTTACATTTATATATTAATTTTCCCTTTCTTGAACATCGTCATGGCATATTTTATCCAGACAGTGAACTGCACAGTAAGTGTTTACGGACTAAGCATGTGCTGAGAGTGTGAGGCAGTGACATTTCTTTTCCCTTACTTTATAAGTTTTGTGTCGGTACCCTAAGAATCGCCTCATTGTGTTATCAATCTGCCCCTGCATTTGGTCATGATCAATTCTATGGCTAATTCTGAAAAATGTTCAAAATGTAATCTAGGATCATGAAATGGAATGATGCGTTTTTTCTTTCCTTTACTTTATTGTATTAGTTCTACAGATGGGCTGACTGTAAAACAAAACTGCCCTTCTGGGACTAATAAAGTATTCTGAATCTGAACAGCACGTCTGCCTCAGTTCTGAGATTCTGCGTTTGAATTTTGACTCCTGCCCTCCTGTGTGGCGTTTGTACGTTTTCCTGTTGCTTGTGTAGGTTTTGTCCTCAAATGCCATCTTGCCACATTTGCAAACAATCATCTGCTTCAGAAGTAAAAGTCTTTCTTCTCTTGTGAGGATAAAGCGGATTGGAAAATGGATGGATGGATGGATGTGTTGAATGAAATGTAATACATGACAAGTACTACAGGTACACGGTATCGGTGAGTAATCAAGAGTGAACAATTGTTGTGGTGTCAGTCTGAGGGGAAAAAAAAGCGGTATTTAACATCCCTATCTAAAAAGCATTTGTGTTAAGTGAACTGAAATAGTACACAGGTGTGAATGTCCGGATAAATATTGTTTGGCTATTTGTGCCTTGTGATTGGGTGGCAACCTGTCTGGGGTGTACCCCACCTCATGCCCTAGCCATCTCGTCAAGGCTCAAGCACACACGTGATCCTAAAGGGGAAAAGCAGTATCAATAAAGTATTGATATTTATATTATATAATAATAACACACATGCCAGAGGACTCACTAAAATTTGAACTGTCAGGAACGTGTTTTCCCCACTCCAGATTCTGAATTGTCACTGCATGGCTTACGCACAGGAGGCGGGTCACAAGAAAACCCAACTTGTGCATGACACATTTCATTCATAAATGTCCAGCACAATTAAGCTACTTGAATGCACTGCTGAGGGCCACTGCTATGGCGGAGGAGTCAATCGAGGAGGTTGTGCAGGAAGGAGGTGGTGACGCTGAACCAGCAGATAAACACATACATGGGAAGGCAGACGTGGGAAGCTACAAACAACTCACAAAAATCAAACACGCGTGGAAGGGGGAGAAAAACTCACCATGTGCTAGTCGGTCACTATGAAACCAACAACGGCTGCGTGATTATGAGGCACAAAGCAAGTGTTAGTGCGCAGATGTGCACAATCCCAGCAGCGGTCCCCGAGTAGGCCGAGGCAAGGCGCTCATTCTCTACACCGGCCCTCTCCGCGGACTGCCACTGTAGAAACACAAAGTAGCACTTCTGAGAAACACAAAGCGAGCTCCATAACGACCAGCTCGTGTCAGCGAGCCAACGGCGGTCCAGCCTCTGGCACTCCTGCTAGCTTATTGACTACATGATCCCCGACTGGTTGGCCTCCGGTTTGTGTTAAAACAAGCCGCGAGAGCGAGCGAGTGTGTTGGTGAGCTGCAGCCAATCGGCACCGCCACCCAACCCCCCAGTCAGTCTGCTTCAAGCACAGGCCGTGACACCCAAACGTTCCGAAGTGCGCGCGCGCACGCATACGGATGACTCGCGCACGCGCACCAAGATTAGCTATGAGGACACGAAAACAGCATACGATTTAATACACGAATTCATCGCGAATGGCCATTTAACACACCGCGTGTTCCTACGGAGTTGGGCCCGAATGCGTGAATACAGTTCAGTGCTACTAACAGCGGCGGCCATGTTGCTTTCTCAGCAAGACGGGAAGAGGAGCGAGGCCGCTTTGGCAAAAACGCGACAAAGAAAACGACAGCAAACACTCACAAAGTCTAAACTTTTACACCGATAGAGATGTTCGCCTTGTAGTTTGTCTTCACGTGCACGCACAGGCCAGTGGGCGCCGCTCCCAACTTTGCAGTGCAATAAGGAGTGCGGGCCACAAGAAGAGACAAAGACAGCCCGGCTGTATACGCTGATTTGACAACACATGTACTTACCTCGTATTAAATTTGAGGTGTTCCACCCAAACGTGGCCTAATTTAGTCACATTTTAGTCGAAGAATCATCTGGTAACACAAGTACTTGTTTTCTCTCCTCGCTAGAGCACCGTTTAAACACTTAATGTCACCCATTTTTTAATTCATTTTCACCACAAGCTAATCCCAACGTGTAAGAAATTATTATAAAGGTCAGTTATCGGTTATTATAAATGTATCGCTAATTATTTGAACACAACGGGAACTAATGTATAATTTTACAGGTTAATTGTTGTATTTAGACATGGAGGTCCTCTGGTGTACACAGAGGGAATCACACCTTCTATTGAACAATAAGCCATAAGCAAAGCAATTTTATTTGGATTCTTGTTTGTCAACAAAGTGCAACAACATGCCGTGGATTTGTAAGTAATATGGTTACAAAACATAGTGAAAAGTATGTGAGGGTGTGTTTCACACCCTCACTCAGACACACATGGTAACAATGGCGCGCCCAGCAACTACAATGTATTAAAACCAAGCAGCCTCCATGAGCTTATACAGTAATTCCCAACCTGTGTCATGAGAGAGAATCAGGCGTGCCACAGGAAAGCATTCAAATTGACTTGATTGGTCCAAAAATGATTTATTTACTAGAAATGATGTCTCTTTGTTCAACCATCTACGGCAGCAACACAGTGACAAGCAGAGCAATTAAATGCTCTTTGACTAGATGGCAGAAGGCACATAATTACCTTTCAATACCCTTAAGTGCCATTTTTGTTTGGTGATTTTGAGCCTTGGCTCAATAAAGGTTGGGAACACTGGTTTATGATACTGTACATGCATCATAAACAACACTTTTAAAACTTGAAGTTGTACCAAAAATCCGGTATTTACAAGAAAACAAGCATGAATGTTTTAAGTGGATAACACATTTTACATACGTTCAAATAGTGGTGATATGACTGGCTGTTTACCACAAAATACTTATATATATATATATATATATAGAAAACTGTACAAGTAGCTGGTCCAACGTGTTCAAGGAGGCATCACAAGATGACAAAAGAGTCACTTTTTATCACCAACATAACATGCACGCTTCCCTGCCAAGACAATTCTTGGCAAAAGGGATTTTTTTTGACAAAGATAAGACTGTACATTGAAATTGAGTTAGGAAGTTGAGAACAAATGCTTGGCTAAGTGTCATCATTTTTTTCTCTGCGCTCCAATGTTATGAACTGTTTTCATTTGGTTTAACGAGAGGCTCACACAAGTTTCTCTTCTCCATCATGGCATAGGCAAGCAGCGGAAGATCACAGCCAGTGAAGTCCAGCTTCGTCGGACTAAAGTCGAGTTTCTTGGGAGCATCACCACCACTTTCCTGCTCCTTAAGCCTCGCTGGACTCTTGACACTACCGGGAGGCCTCCCGGGGCTCACCTTGTAGCCGGCTGCTTTGGTGGTACCGAGGGGCCGCCCCGGGCTGGTTTTAAAACCAGCAGCTCTTGTGGTCCCAGGTGGACGTCCAGTACTTGTGCGGTAACCAGCTAACTTGGTGGTTCCCAATGGTCTGCCTCTCCTCCCGGACTTCACTTTGCCTGTATTTTTTTTTGTGCCGACAGGCCCTGCAACCTCCCCGCTATTGACTGTCAGCGGCTGAAGCTGAAATGAATTCTGGGTCTCTTGCACCGGACCCGCCATCACTTTGTGCATGTTCGGTGGCAATGGAGCCAGCCCTGCAAAGGACAGGTGCAAGCCAGAGTTTGAGGGAGAGCAGGGGTAGAACTTGTTAGATTGGAGGCTGCATAGATCAAATCGGCTTGCCGGGTGGCAATCTTCTGCAGGTGCACTCATACAGAAGTCATTGCTGCTGCTGCTACAGGTCACTTGATGCATCATTTTCTGTTGAGGGGGGTGGGGGTTGGGTACGCCAAAATAACACGGCAACTGATGTTATACTCTCAACAATACAAGCACCAGGGATCACACTGAATTTTAACGCTACACACAACACGTTATTGTCCACTAGGCAATGAAGCGAGGCATGCATATACAAGTAACGTGGTTTTCTAAAGGAAACATTAACATACACTGGGGGGCGGGGGGGGGGACTCACATACCTCAGTCTTGGGATAACACACGGTGAAATGTTAATATCGTATTTTTAACGGTCATGTCTGCGATGTACGCCCAGGTGTCCGCAAGTAAAAGCGAGCAATGGCTTCATCTTTTATAATCCTTCAGACGGTAGGCGAGATAAGACAGGAAGCCATTTTCGCCTGAAAAAAAAATAGTGTAGCAAGATGGAATAACCGCGCATGCGTATGCGTTACGATGTCGTATTTCCGGGAAAACCGTCACCCGTGCGAAAAGTTGACAAAACGGAAAAAAAGCATTACACGTGTAGTACATTTTGTAAAACTTTTGTTTCGTTAAATTACACAAATCTCGCATTTTGGTAAACGCGTTGCCACAATTCATACCACGGTTTAACGAGTTCACCGTGTTCAAAGCTGAACGAGGCAAAGAAAATGCGGTTTTGTACTGGCGTTCAGTATGACGCAGTGTTCTAAAACACGACCACAATAGTAATAATAAAACCCCTGAACACAATTATGTGAATAAATCAACAGCCATCAAAATTGGCCCCATTAAAGTTTAATGAGTGTTACTTATTGGATCTCAAAGGGTGGGGGGGGGGGGTCGAAAAGTTGACAGAATTAAAAATAAACACATACAAGTATATTATTCAGGTTTTATTAACATCCAAGTGATTTTAAGTACAGACACTGGAGATCTGAACCATCTGCAATGATCAACGAGTAGCAATCTACATTTATCAGTATGTGTCCACTTGATGGTCATTTCTAAAACAGATGCAAGATGAAGTCCACAGGACTTAGGATTCTCTCATGAGCTTGGTCAGTTTCTGAATCTTTGTCTTTGTGGACATGTCCACATACTTGTCCCCAATGCTGACGATCATCCCACCCAGGATTGAAGGATCGGACTGAAAAGAGGAAGACATTGTAAGTCACGTACATTTTGTTACTATTGTACTGCACAATCCTAGTGCTATTATTACAGATAATACTGAGTTACAATAAATCGATATTAGTCCTCAAAAGGGTAATTAAAAAGTTTTTAATGAAAATAAAAATCTCATAAGCAGAAAACTTTCACTTGCATACAAAAGTAAATTGTGAATACAGTGGACCCCCCTCCCCCAACCACATATTAGTTCTACATTTGCAACTTCACAGATTTTTTTTCTTAACATGTCCACTGTTACTCATAGAAAAGGCACTTATTTACAGTTTCCTGAAACAAGGCCCAAAAACCCCAAAACAAGTTTGAGCAAAAATACCGTCTACAGTAGGCGTCACAAACCTTTTTGAAAGTGCAAGCTACTTGTTGAGGACCAATTAATACAAAGGGCAAGCGCCGTTTCTTACACACTTCTGAAATATAATTGTCAAAACTGCCTCCAATTATCTGTTAATATGTGAAGATACTGATTATGTCAACGATTTTTCATAATAACCAACACTGATTTAAATATTTAGTTGCTATTATAAAACTTTATTTCAAGAAAATATATAGCACATATTTTCAAACGATCACTTCACTGGTGAGATATTTTTAGAACAGGCCCAGGGGCTTCTCGTGGTTCTTGTGGGCTACTCTGGTGCCTGCACGGGCACCATGTTAGTGACGCCGAGTCTACAGTATGAATGTGTATTGTACTGTAGTCCCTTCAATCGAGCCAGTGCTTATGTCCGCCATACACACAGAGAAAACCAAACATTCATAGTACTGTTCAACCAAACTTCAGCTTAACTCAACTTTACCTACGATTTGTGACTGACAGTCGGCAAGAATGGAGAATAAGATGACGGCACCCATGTGTACTTTGGCTCCGATAGCTTAATAAAACTAGGACTAAACACGGCAACAATACAATTTCAATCAGTTACAACTGCTCATATGAATAGCTGTGAATTCTATTACAACCGCCAGTTTGTGTTGTGACTGTGTGGATGTAGAAGTTTTGAGCTAATAAACACCAAAGCACCAACTGCCTGGTTAGCCTCGTAGCTCAGGAGGCAGCAGCATTTCCCTCAAACACAGGCTCAGATTGTTGGCAGCATTGATGTAGCTTCTGCATTTTGCTGTGGAGTATTTTGTAATTTGTTTTTTAAACACCAGACTGCATGGCTTCAATAATTCTGAACCCACAAGCGGTTTCCGATACAGGAGTGTCTGAAGATCTCTGCGTCTGTAATGCTATTTAAGTGTTTGTGGTATATGTATGGTTTAAACTGTTAATATACAGGTATTACACTATAACTTTATGCGATCGAGGTTGAAATGCAATCCTTACGATACACTACTCGTGATGAACAGACAAGATGGTAGGAAAATGAAACGTCAATAAAAATTGTACCTTGGTTTCCATCTTGATAGTTTCACCCTTCTGAAGAAATCCATTAAGCGCAAGTTTCAGCTCAGCGAGATTAGTTGGATCCAAAGGCTGAAATGAATATATATTGATTGGGTGCATGCATCTATGTATGACTACAGTAAATAATCATGGGAAAACATGATACGAGTAATGAGCAGGCAGAAAAATGTGTGCGACCTACCTGAGCAGTGGTTACAGAGCAGATCACCTCCCCACGGTGCGCACTCATCATCTTGCCAAAAGCAGTGATGACATCACCAGTTAGAGTCAGACGACCATTGTCAGACAGAACATCTGCACACGCCAAAAATACATCAACACATGTATATTTTTAGCCAAAGCTATAATGATAACCAAGTCCTGCATGCTACACAATGTAAAAATACTGTGATATAGTATTTCTCACCAGCAGTTGTCGAATATTTATGAAATTATGTTATTAAAAAATAAGCGGCAAGCGACAACTCACCGATGAGGTTCATTGTGATAGGGGAGACTTTTGCCTTTGCAAGGGCATCATGAAAGGTCTTCTGCTTGAGGCTCCGCTTCACATGAGGGTTCATGACAATACTAGAAATTTTGGGGTCCTTGATGAGGGCCTGTGGGTAAAAGCAGTATTTGAGAAGAGTAAATAACGTCTGCAATCTTCCGAACCTGCTCGGATCACCAAAACCCTCTTTACTTACATTCACTTTACCCAGCTCCTGCTCGACTTGGTCCAGTTTTTTCTGCTTACTGGCAGCTGAGAACAGAGCAGTGGCATAGCGACCTTCCACGCCATAAACCTGGATTGGTGGCTGAATGGAAATTCAAGATGAGATTAAAACACAGATTTAAAGTTCTGTCGTATGTAGAGTCGGCCACGCCACATTTTACATTTATATCTACCTTAACCAGTTTGGCTGCAGGCCTAATGGCTGATGTGCTAATCTGGCGGGCCTGCAGAAAAAAAACAAGGAGCAAAATTGTAACATTCATGTTATCAAGAACGTGAGCGTATTAATATTAACACAAACACTGTCCCTTGCAGCTAACGGGTAGGCTAGCACTTTAGCAGTCATTCAAGTGCAAAGCCGCGTGTAATTATTTGTGGCATTTAAAATCAGCGGCGGGTCGCCACCAAGTTTATGGTGCGTTGACTATCTTTTAAATCCACGAATATCGAGATGGAACTCATATCAAACAAATAAAATGTTCAAATTTATTCAACGTCTTACCTGCTGTCCTAGCATGCGTGCTGCCATTTTCTCCTCCAGCTGTCCAGACTGTAACCCTTGACTGCGCATGTGCAATTAAGAGAGGAGATCTCGTCTATCCATGGGGGTTGTAGTCCTTTAACTGGAGTGTGGACATCTGTGCCCTTCAAGAAGTGCTAAATACAGATCATTTTTCGAACATAATTCCAGTCATGCTCATATACTTCGGAAACTTCGCATTGGCGTGATTGAGTTTCTTCCCACAAGCTGTTCAAGATTTGGGGTGAATGACACGATGATTACCATTCGTCATTTTTGCTGCATTTAACCATAGATCTCCTTTGTTGTTAGGTCGGCGTTTACAGTACAGACGTTTTTCTAGCTAGCAAACGTTTCAGATGATCAGAGGCCGAGACCGCACTACTCTCCTGTTTGCTCTGGAATGAGAGAAGCCACCTGACGTGTGTGCTTTAAAATTAAAGCCAATTGACACAGACAAGATTTTACGTGAATATTCACAAAAGCCAACTTTTGTGTTCTACTTTATGTCCGTTGCTTTCAAAATAAAAGTCTAAAACAAATAAGCCCAAGACCAATGTTATTGCTACTCTATGTAAGATGCTTTCCACTATGCATAGACTTACTGTTAAATGTCTATGTAGAGCGGCTGCTTTATCAAAACGAGTTGGCCTTGGATGACACAATGTATGATAAAATCAATTTTATTAACTCAATCCATGCCACTGTGCCTCAACATAAAAGCAGATGAGGGTTTAGTTAGATTTTCCCCAAAAGGATGCTTCTATTTCACGCACATGGGGATTTAACCACATTAAATTGTACAAACTTAAATTTATCTTGCCTGGAACATGAGATCCGGGCCCTCACCACCTTTCCCAAAATCGCTTTACACATGTGCATCCTTACTTCCATCCTCCCTTACCCGAAACAAATTTAAATCACTGCGTCTTTGTATATCAACCATTCCCATACAAATGAAACTTTTTTCAAATTGCCATCTTTATTTTTCCCCATATCAAGAGCAAAGCATAAGTGACAGCATCAACTCAAAAAACTATACAAAAACAAAAATGCTAAGAAAATACTTACCCAGGCTGTTCCTTCAGTGTGATTTAAAACAAGACCAATCCGATCTTTCAGCTATTCTGCAATATAGAACTTGAACTTCTTAATCAAAATGACCATTAATGTAAGCAGTGTAACATCAAAAATGAGACAACTACTTGACTGCAGATTTGGTGAGGAGAGGACATCATTATAACCCTCCCCCCCAAAACAAATATACACCTATCCCTTTTTGTCATTGAATAAACATATGAGGAGAATCTGTTAAGCAGTTGCAAGCTATGCTAAAATGAAATGTTCAAAGCTGAAAGAACGTGTGTAAGATTTACAATTTCCATGGCATACATTCACATACAAAAAGAAAAAAAACACGAATCATTTTATAAATAGAACTATAAGGGTTGGATATTTGTGCCACAAGCTTCAATTAGTCCTGTACATCCACACACACGCAGAGAAGAACTACTACTGATCCAAGTAGATAAGAGTATTCAGTGGTCGCTCAATTGTCTCATGCGTTCCTTTACTGTAGTCTCAATCACATACAAAACGTGATTGGGGGGTGGGGTGGGGTAGATGTGTGTATTCATGACACTTTTAGCCCCACTTCGAGGCGAATGTTCAACACAATCATTCACAGAAGAGGGCTGCAAGTAAACCATTCAAACTAGGATGCTCATGATAGTTTGGGATAAAATGGTGGGGAGGAAACACTGTGGTTTTTGTGAATAAGCTGAGGGCGGGCTTCTAGTTCAGGCACTGTCACCAGTTTCTACTGTGTGGACTTGAAACATGTGTTCTGGTTTGTTGCCTTTGCTGTGGTGCTCCCACATCTGCAAGTAGAGCCTCTCCAGGTCCATCGTGTACTGCTTGGTGTTGAAGAGAGGACTACAAATGCGCTGCTTCCAAACACGTGCACGAATCATCTTCAGGCTGCGAGAGGAAAAACAAAAGGATCAATCGGCCTCAAGTTCGACAAACATTCAAAAAGTAAATCAATAGAATTTTTTCCCCAAGGTAGTATAAATTTCTTCCTACTATTCCATGTCAGATCCGAGTTTTACTGCTATGTCCTCATAGTCCTGTCGACTATGGGCGATGAGTTCCGGACAGCCAAGGCAGCTGAGTTGTGAAGCAGCCACTCGTGAAGCAAGGGTCTCACCTGTACGAGGATGTTAATGGGTGATAATAACTCAAGTGATATTGTTTACATACTCTTCATACTCTTGAGAAATAGTGTGTGTGTGTGTTTTGTTCTGAAATAATCAAAACCTCACCTGGCATAGTGACCATGGGTGTTCCTGCCCACAGAACATCCATTCCTGTGGTGTGACCGTTGCACAGAGGCGTGTCTAAACATACGTCAGCCAACTGACCCCTCCTAACATGTTCTTCTTTGGGGGCCACTGGCGAGAAAATTATGCGAGAAGCGGGGAGGCCCATGTTCTGAGCGTACTGCTGGATGTTGGGCTCACCCACAGCAGGGAACCGAAGGAGCCACAAGACACTGTTCTGCACACGTTTTAGGATCTGCAGCAAAGAGGAGTTGCAAAATATTTTAAATGCAAGCTGAAAATGAACTTGTGCTATTAATGTGTAGTGCATAATCGAAGACGCTCTGACTTACATTGGCCCACATTTGAAGGGTTGGGGGGTCAATCTTGTAGAGTTGGTTGAAGTTGCAGTAAACAATGGAGTCCTCTGGAAGACCATACTGGGAACGGGTGGTCACAACAATTGTGCGCGGCACCTCCTCTCCCGTGGCTGCTTTATTGTTGATCTGAAATGGGGGTGAAAACAATCACTTGTAAGAACATTATATCACTCTATCGCAAAGCATGCAGCGTTCCTAAACATCCAGACAGAGAAAATAGCATTAATGTGTACATTCACTCTAACCAATGGTAAGCTGCTGGTTCAATGGAATTTTCTCAGAAAGTATTTTACTTGTCCCTCAACCATCAAACAAACAATGCATTTCTGGTTAGGTGCAGAGGTACTACTCCAATGCCAATTTGCACTGGTTCAATAGAACAAGGATGACAATGGCTAGTGATGAAAAAAGCGGAAAGGGGTGTGGCCTGGACGGGGGCGTGGCCACTTACAAAAGTGGCACGAAACATGCTGAAGATGAAGTAAGTGTATTCGATTTACACACTATTTGAAACTTGAACAGAAAAAAAATCCCAAGATTGTTCACTATTCTTTCAAGTGAAAATTTGTGCAATTTTGTTTATGCATTCCTGGTGAGCACCAATATGTAACTTCAAATTTGCTGCTCAAAATCAAAACGAAAAAAGGAAACACATTCCCTGCCATATTTTAGATTTGTTCATTACTTGTATTCATAAAGTGTTGTGTAAATGTGATAAAAAGCTGTTGATTCTTACCTCATACAGTGATAGTGAAGTCCCACACGGTTTACTATATATGGGTTATGATTTATATGTATTTTCTTATATAAAGTGGATGTCTATTTACAGTATATACAATAACAATATACAGTTTCATGAGGTAGAATACTTTGTTTTCTCTTCATTTGCAGCTTTTGAGCAAGCGCTAAAAGCTTATTGGTCCTCTCCGTCTTTTTCCACTCTCTTTTTAGCCAACTCCTCTTGTTTTTACACA